TTTACATTATCATTATTGTTTACAGCCATTATCTTTTTTATAGCTTTTCTCTCTCCTTTTCCATAATCTGTTTAGCACCTTACCTTTTTCAATTCTAAATTTGTCATCGCATATATTCTCTAATCGTTCTCCGTTATCCTTACCTAAGTTCTCAAACCACATACTTGTGATGTTGCACTCGCTTATATAATGCTCTAAGTTGTCCCTACCTGACTTGCAGAATCTACACTTCGTATCTTCCTCGTCAAGCCAATATTTATTTGTATCCTCTAAATTGCCGCACCTTAATTTTACCATCGCTCTAATCTTGTCTCCTGTTTTTACTTTATCCAAGTTCGCTTTTAATAAATAACTCGGTGTTTTGTTGCTCGTTTCTATCTCTTTGTACCTTGAATTATACCTTGCCTCTACTATTTTACTGTTTATTATTTGCCCTTGTATGTCCTGTTCCCTTATTCTTACTAAGCCTTCAGTATTTTTACCTTCATTATTTAATTCTTTTATTACTTCAGAGTTCCAACCATTGTTATTATAAAACCTTTCTCGTTCCAAACTATATAAATCGTTTTTCTTTTTATCCATTGTGTCCTTTTCATCCCAACATACCTTTACTTACTTTACTTACTAAACTTCCGTCTTTTTTCTCTCTGCTTCTTTTCGAATCTCATGGTTCTTATGCCTCAACAGGTTTTAAGTTTCTCTAATCCTAGTTCCCTTAGTATTACATACCTCGGTGTGCAAAAATCTAGTCTAAATACCCATCTTACATAATCTAACATGACTTTTTCCAACTCCTTTTTTTCACTCCACCCCCATATTTCTGCTCCGTATTCCATCACACTTTTGACTAGGTACTTAAAAAGCGTCCATCTTCTACTAAAATCATCTTTACATAATCTTTCTCCTAAGCCCCAGACCCTGTTTGCCGCGATCCTTCTTTTCCTTTTCAGCTCTGTTATATGATCGACATAATTACCTTTTTTATTAAACGTGAAACCCAGGTATTTAAACCTATCTACTTCCTCTATTATTTTTTCGCCCCATTTCCATGACATTTTTTACCTTTACTATTAAATACTAGCACTTTAGTTTTTTCTGTATTTAATTCTAGTTTTCTTTCTTTTAAGAATCTTTTTAACATGCTCATCATATCTAGTAAAGCCTCTCTATTTTTCGCTACCAAAACCATATCATCCGCGTATGCTAATGACCATACTCTCACTCCTCCAAGCTCCACTCCTCCTATACCATGCTTTTCTAAAACTTTATCAATGTCCGCATTGTATAGATTGAACAGTGCGGGACTCATCACACAGCCTTGCCTTACACCTTTCTTAGTCTTGAAGCATCTTGTGAACTCATCCATTGTCCTTATTGTCACCTCGGTCTCTTTGTAGATTTCTTTTATCCTGTTTGTTAAACAGCGATCCACTCCTTTCTCTTCCATTATTTTCCATAAAATTTCTCTGTCAACATTGTCGAATGCTGCCCTTAGATCCACAAACATTGCGAAAATCTTGTCTTTCACAATTGCCGTACCTTTCTCCTTCTCCCTTTGCACTATATGGTTCAAAATAAATATATTATCCATCGTGGACCTCCCTTTCCTAAAGCCGGCTTGGCTGTCAGGTATCATCCCTTTCCTCTCCATTATTTCCTCCAATCTGTTCCTTAGAATTTCAGCATATACCTTGTATGCAGTGCACACAGCGATATCCCTCTGTAGTTGTCTGTTCTCTCTTTATCCCCTCTTTTATATAGAGGGACAACTATGCTTGTTTGCCATTTGGTCGGAATTTTACTTTCCTTCCAAATGAGCTTCAACAGATCAATTAGACCTCCTCTTACCGCTGCGCCACCATACAGCCATGCTTCCATTGAGATTCCATCGACACCTGCAGCTTTGTCTAGCTTCATGTTCCTGACTGCCCTCACTATTTCCTCTTCTTGCAGCTCTTTATCTGTATCTTGAACCTGCTCTTCATTTCTTTCTTCTGTTCCCATGTCACGCATCTCCAACGCCTCTTCCCTTCCTACCATCTCGGTCCCACCTAACAGCTCCATGAAATAACTTTTTCAGTTCTCTTTCGGAACATTATTCTCTTTCCATTCTTTCTTCTTTCTTCGACTGTTTATATAGTTCCAAATTTTCTTTTCGTCCTTCAGTTTTCTTAATTCCTCTTCATCCCTCACTCTCTTCTCCATCCTTTTGCGCTCTAACCACCCCTTCAGGCATTTCTTTTCTTCCAAATAGTCTTCCTTACTCCCCTTCCACATCTCCACTTTCTGTACTTTCTTTTCACCTCCCTCTTCTTTCTGGTACAACTTCTATCCCACCAATCTTTGTGCCCTATTTTTCTTCTCTACTTTAACTTAATTTCTTTATACACTAAGGCTCCAAGGATCCTGTTTTTTATTTTCTCCCATTTCCTATCTACCGACTCCATTTCCTGGTCCTCGGTTTCATTCCATACCTCCGTCCTCTCCCTGTATAATTGCCTTGCCTCTTCGTTCCAAACTATAATCTTCTTTGACATATTCCGTTCTTCTTCTTCCTCTTCTGTACACCCCTCTATTTGTCTCGTATTCTCCTCTTCCTCCAGTAACAAGGTCAGAGGCAAATGATCCAAGTCCACCCTGTCCCCTATTCTAAATTCCAACACTCGCTCTTGCGCACTATCGTTTACAATTGCATAATCAATTACCGAGCACCCTCTCGCACCCACATACGTATATTCCCCCTCCCAATCCCCCTCTGTACATCCATTCAAAAAATACTATCCTTTTTCATTTATCATATCCACAAAACTTCTGCCGCCATCTTCTATAACTTTATCTTTACTCTCCTTTTCAAAGTCATACTCCTCCTCCCTACAACCTCCTAAATTTCCTATTCTAATATTAAAATCACCTCCTATAATAATATCCTCTCCTTCGCATCCTTCGCATTGCTCTGTTATTTTTGCCATTATCTCTTCAACATCTTTCTTTGTTCCTACATTATATACTGTAAAAATATTTAGCCCCTTTTTTTTTTACTATTCTTGTTCGCGCAATTCTTTCTGTAATCATTATACTTTCATAATTCTCCACTTCCGCCATTCAGCCTTTTATAATACCTATTAGTAATCCTCCCTTCGCCCTACCCTTCCTTTTTTCCTTTACAGCGTTAATGTTTTTCCAAATGTGCGTTTCTGGCAATCTACCCTTAATTCTACCCCATCCCTTTTCCTCTAGCCATGTTTTACATAATCCTATAAAATCGAAACCTACTATGTAATTCCAACAATCTTTGTCCTGCCTCTCTATACCTGCTACATTCCAAAAAATTATCTTTCGCCCATTTTCTTTCTTCATCTTCTTCACTTTTCCGTCCTCCATTCGTGTTGTTTGCCTATTGTCCTCTTGAATGCCTCGACTTACTGATACTCTTCTCCTAACTTGGCAGTCCTCTAGAAATTTTCCTTTTCTATTAGCTTATTTTCTTCCTCGCTCCATACATACTTTCTACCTTGTATCTCTAGCTTCCTAAAACCTATTTTCACCCATTTTCCTTCTGTTTTCTTTTTCCATGCCCTTTCTTTTCTCCGTCTTTGCACTTCTCTGTCCTCAAAGGTCAAATCGTGATTAATGAAAATTTTCTTACTTCCCAGTTTCTTCTTCTCCTTCATGATGTTATCCTTCGCTTCCCAGCAGTCCATTTCGACTATTATTATCTCTCCTCCTACTCTGCCTGGTGACCGCATCTTCTTCACTCCCGCTCTTGCACCAAACTCCCTCTCCAGAAACATCTCCGCTGTGTCTATTAAGTTCTTGTTTTCCTCTTTATGTAGTCCTCTGATCACTAAGTTATTTTTCTTTTCTTTCCTTTCCTTTATATTTCTTTCTCTCTTCCTCACCATCTCCGCCACCTTTCCCACAATTTCCTCCATTTTGCCGCCGGTCGTTTCATCCGTTGTGTTTTCACTCCTTCGTTCGATCTTCGATAGCCTCACTTCTATCTTATCCATCCTTTCCTCTACCTTTTCTTCTTTTTTTCTCCGACCCTCTTCTAAGACGTTCATCCTCTCTCTCATCTCTCTCATTTATTTTCTCTCAGGTCCCTCATTTCGTTTCTAATCTCTTTGTTACTGACAGGACTCCTTCCTCTTCTCTCTTCTTACCTACAGCACCGGCTCCATCCTTCGCTTTGTCCATACCTGGTGGCATTTTCACTGTCTTGTTATCTCTCTTGAAAATTTCCATCGTACGTTGTTCGTTTTCCTCTCTTTTCCTCTTGGCTTTCGCTAACTCGCATGCCGTACTGTTATCACTTGTCATAAACTCCAGTATGCTGAGCGAGCCCGATCTTTCTCTCCTTCTTAACTCCTCCTTTGTAAGTCTTCCCTTTCCTCTTTTTTCTTCTTTTGGTGTGGCAAAAACTTTTTTATCCGTTTTCTCACTGCATGAACTATCCGACACTGTAGCCGGATTCTCATTTTTATTCTTTATTGCTGCCTTCTCACTGTCGCCTGTCTCTCCCTCCATCCTGTGCGCCCCGCGTGCACGCTCTCCTTCCAAACAATCTCCTTAGCCGCTACCTCTATGCCTAGACCGTTCCATCTAGTGTCTAGTGTCGCTACCTACTCTATGCGTGACGCAAATCTCGCTCCTTTTGGAACGCACAGCGATTTTCTCCCGCTTTCTCTCACCTAACCTCTCCTCTCTCTAGAATATTTAGCACTCTTTTCCTTCACTAATTAATATTTCCCTGCTGCATCTATTATCTTATGCTAAATTTAAGCTCTTCTTCCTACCTTTCTATCGGTTTATCGCTTACCTCGTATCCCATTTCCCTCTAAACTCTCGCCTAATTTATCCGCAACTCTCACACGCGTGCTGTACACGTTTCGAATGAATCGTGATCTACGTAATGGTGTTAAGGATCAGGAAACTTGATATCGTTTAGTCAATATATTTTGAAGAGTGTTTCGAGAAGACTTTTAAAATTTCTTAAGTCTGATAAAGGAAGAAAACGTCTTATCAATAACAAATCACATGAATATAAAATAAGCACTTCAGCATAAAATTTGTATCAATGGTCAATCAACTCAAAGCAATCTTTCAGTTTATCAGGGAAATCCTAAACTAGAATCTATTAGTTGAAGGTTTATAAAATAATATAATTTCTGTAGAACAGAAGATCTATAAACATGAAGAGTTGAGTGTATTTCACATGAATTCCACTCCTGAATAGTTAAACAGTTGAACAGACCATTAATACGCACAAAGTTATTAATATCGATGACATTATAAATTCACAAAATATCATATAAAGTAGTAAATAAGTAATGAAAAAATGCATACATCTTTTACTTTTAAGCTTCTTATTATTCGAAAGAACAGTCAGAATTAGATTGTGAAACTGAATTTATGTTAATAATAATGTGCATATAAAGATGATATGCTTCTGAACATATATGACAATCGTCATCTGAGTTGTTTGTTAATTCAAAACAATTGAAATATGTACGCATTTATCCATGTTTTGTCAAATAAAAGAGTATCTGACGGAGAGAGAGAATATCTCCTAAAGTAAAATGCAATAGTATTTTTGGAACGATAATTAATAATATAGAGCAAAGTATATAGAACGCAAAGTATCGGAAGAATTCAAATAATTCAATATGATTATAATCAATCGTATTGAGTTCGCGAGATATTTACAAAGACGAAATATAGCTTTTATTGACAACGGCCGTGTCTTTCAAACAATTATTAATATTCAGTTTACAATTAAAGAATTATTTTTTACACGTGGTTGTAACCAAATTTAATATAGTTGTAACGTTCGCGTTTTCTCGCTCGGAATTCGCTCGCCAGGCCAGGG